CCCCTCACAGCGGGAGAGGATGAAGGAGCCTGGAGCCCTCAGTCTGGGCCCTGCTCACCCCTTCCCTGGGTGGCCCCGGCCGGCCCCTCCCATCCTCCCCCCTCTCTTCCCACACCTCCTGGATGACATTTGATTGGGACCAAGAACAAACCAAACCCGAGTTTGAGGTTTGGGTGGGATGGTTGGTTTGGTTTGGTTTCCTCAGAGGGAGGCCCATGAGGGTTGTGGTGGCTGGGAAGGAACTTGCGTCCAGCTGTCTGTAGGCAGGAGAGAATGGGCCAAGGATGGAGAAGGGAAGGAGGGAGAGGGCCGCCTGAGGAGGACAGGAGCAGGGGAGCCCTGCTACTGGTGGGCTCACATCAGCCAGTGGAGTGGTGTGGAGGAGCTTTGCCAAGGGCATGTCAAGGTGAAGCTGTGGATTGTGGATTTTTCCCTGCCCCTAAAATAAGTTCCTTCCTTGCTCGGCCACATCTAGATGTCACGGGCCTGAGCATTAGAGAATGATTGCTCTCCCCACACCAGCATTCTGCATAAAAGAATAGTAACAACACCCAAAGCTCTCATCGGTTCTTTGCTGTGTGTATATCTTTCCGTTGTGTGCTGGAAGGCAGGTGGCCGTGACCCAGAGGAGGGGTTGCTGTCACGCAAGGGCTGAGAAGGAATGGGTCCCAGTGACCCAAGCAGGGGACACCCAGTGTCTAAGGAGCAGTGTCTGAAATTCCTGGAAGAACTGCACCCCCTGTGCCTCCCAGAGGGGGAAGCATAACCAGAACGTGGACTGAACGCTGATCTGGAAATCGCCGTGCAGAGTGGCTGGCACTGGGTAGAGCCCGGCTCTCAGGCAAAGCTGGTGTAACAAAGGACATGGCTTGAGCCAGACGGGCCTCGGCTAGTGTGACCTCAAATAAGGCACATAACCTTTTGGAAGTTCGTTTTCCCGTCCATAAAATATTAGGGGAGATAGTTAATTGCTCACGAGTGTGGGGAGGATTCTGTGACATGACATACGCAAAGTTGCTGGAATGAAGGCCTCTCAGTAAATGTTTAGCAACCTAAGGGAATTTGAATAGAAAGAAAACAATTTTGGGGAGAGGAGTTGGTCAAGGCTCCTTTTCAGGCTCTCTCTCCATCTAATTTATTTTTTATTTTTTAAAGATTTTATTTAATTATTTGACAGACAGAGATCAGAAGTAGGCAGAGAAGCAGGCAGAGCGAGAGAGGAGGAAACAGGCTCCCTGCTGAGCGGAGAGACCGATGTGGGGCTCGATCCCAGGACCCTGAGATCATGACCTGAGCTGAAGGCAGAGGCTTTAACCCACTGAACCACCCAGAACCACCTATCTCCCCATCTTAAACCAGGCTAGCCTCCTTCTGGCCCTTGGCCCCCGGTTCTCCTTGACTTGGTTTAGAGGTGAGATGAAGCAGGATCTGTGCCCAATGAGGGAGGAGAAAAACGGCCTGCTCCCTTCTGCTGAACTCTGAACACTTTTCTCTTTGCTCCTGCAAAGAGAGAGAGACAAAGATTAGAAAAATAACAGGCGGTAACCGAGAGCGCCCCCAATGGTCCTGCCCAGTACTACCCTCTTTGCTCGCTGGATCGGCTTTAATCCCGGCAACAGGATGAAGTCGGTTATAACCCTTCCTACTTCTCCCTTACAGAATGAGACCCTGAGAATCCAAAGCAGAGCAACCTGCTCCAGACCCCACACTGCCCCCCAATAGGATGCTGAAGGAAGAGGAGGGAGGGTTAGGAGAGATTCTGCAGGACTCCTTGCTCGTTCTAGGTGGAAAAAGCAGGATTCAAGATCAAGGTGCGGCGCTTGGGTGGCCAGTCCATTAAACATCTGCTTTCGGGTCAGGTCATGACCCTGGAGTCCTGGGATTGAATCCCGCATCGGGATCCCTCCCTCTCCCCCTGCTTGTGCTCTCTCTGTCAAATAAGTAAATAAATACAATATTAAAAACAAAAAAAAAGATCAAGAAAAATCAGCTCTGGCTCTCTCCTCCCATCAGCACCTTCCCTGACTTGAGGCCAGGCAGTATCTCCTACCCCAGGCCTCATTTTCTTTTTCTTTTTCTTTCTTTCTTTCTTTCTTTTTTTTTTTTTTTAAGATTTTACTTATTTATTTGACTGGCAGAGATCACAAGTAGGCAGAGAGGCAGATAGAGAGAGAGGAGGCAGCAGACTCCCTGCTGAGCAGAAAGCCCGAATGCGGGGCTCGATTCCAGGACTCTGGTATCATGACCTGAGCCGAAAGCAGAGGCTTTAACCCACTGAGCCACCCAGGTGCCCCCGGCCTCATTTTCCACCATGGAGAGGAGCCGAGGACAGACCGGGAGGGCTGGGGCTGTGGTTGGAGCAGTCAGTGTCAGGAACTGGGAGAAGAGGGACCACAGAGAGGGATTCCCACGCTCCAGGGCATGGCCCCCACCGTGGAGGCTTGCCCGACCTCTGGAGCTGGAGCTGGAGAGAACCAGGGCTTGGGATGGACCAGAGGTAGCATCAGCTGGGAAAGCTCCAGGGAACCAGCAGGGGCAGGGCCACACAGGGAAGGAGGGACCCTGCCTCATGGCGACAGAGCCATTGACTGGCCCAGGGACAGGAGCAGCCATGGGGTTGGGGGCTGTGACAGGCAGGCAGGGACGGGAACTTGCAAAGCACTGGCCCCACATCACTCATCAGAGTCTGAGCCAATGAACTGAGGCAGGGAATTTTTCTAAAACAAGTTAGTGTCTAGAACTCAAAGATGATGGAGCAGATGGAGTGGCGGCCACTACTAAGGAACTCCCCAGCCTCCTCTCTGGTTTGTCCACCTGACATGTGCCTGGCAGTTTGGAAGGCACAACATCCAAGGCGACAGGCCTGCTGCGCGCACCGGGTTGGGGGAGGCATCCAGCTGGGCTCTCAGTCGTTCTCTGCTTGCCATTTGCTCTACGTTGCCAGTTTGCCTTCATGACGCCCCAGAACTCCAGTTCTAATTAACCTGGAAGAAGCCAAGTCTTTGATCTTAGTACCTAAAAAGGTATTAAATGATGTTTCAACAAGCAAAGCAGTAATTTAAATGCTTGTACTTTTGGGGCACCTGGGGGGCTCAGTGGGTTGAATGTCCTGTCTCTTGATTTAGATTCAGGTCCTGATCTTAGGGTCATGGGGTCAAGCCCAGCAATGGACTCCAAACTCAGTGCAGAATCCGCTTGAGACACACACCCTCTCTCTCTCCCCCCACCCCTGCCCCTCCCCCACTCACTACCTTTCTATCTCCCTCTACAATAAATAAAATCCTTAAAGATTATAAAATCCTTAGAGATTTTTATTTATTTATTTATTTGACAAAGAGAGAGCAGAGCAAGAGAGAGAGTGAGAGCATGAGTGGGGGGTGGGGGCAGAGGGAGTGGGATGAGCAGACTCCGGGCTGATCCCAGGACCCCAAGATCACCACCTGAGCCAAAGACAGACGCTCAACTGAGCCACCCAGGAGCTCCAGTAAATAAAATCTTTAAAAATAAATAATTGTTTATACTTTTTTGAAAAAGATTTTATTTATTTATTTGACAGAGAGAGAGACTCCAAGAGAAGGAACACAAACGGGGAGTGGGAGAGGGAGAAGCAGACTCCCGGTTCAGCAGGGAGCCCGGTTTAGGGCTGGATCCCAGCACCCTAAGATCACGACCTGAGCCAAAGGCAGACTGTTAACAACTGAGCCACCCAGGCACCCCAATACTTTTTTTTTTTAAATGCTTGTACCTTGCAAATTCGTATTCTGAAAGTTTATTTTGTTTAGTTGAAATGGGTATGGCATGATGGAGTTTTTAGGAAGCTTTAACAAGTCGGAAAAAAGTTTCAGAGATCTCACAGAATGAGCAAAACCCTTAGCTAAGAAGGAAACTATTTTCCTGTGACTTTCCTGTGACTGATCTAAATCAGTCCCTCAAATCTTGGGTCCCCAGTCCACAGGGACTGCCTAGACAGTATCTAATGTTCCCCGTGCCCTGCAACCCTTTCTTTTCTTCTCTCTCCTGCACCCCCCTTTCAAAGACACAGGCTAAGCCTCTATCTCCCCTCCCTACCCTTGCCTAAGCTTTAGACCCTTCCTTCTAGCCGCCCCCCCTCCCCGAGCTAAAAGAAGAGTGACTTTTCTCTGGTATAGAGAGGAGCCTGGAGTCTCCCCCCCGCCCGCCCCCCAGGCCCATAAATCACCACTGTCAGCTCGGTCTCCCTTACATCGGGGAACTCCTAGGCTCAAAAACCCGGCGTGGCCCCCCATTGTCCTCAGCATAAAAAGCCCACAGCACTTGGCGTGTACTTCTCATTTGGCAGTCCTAACTCAGGCGATCTGTGTTCCTTGGTTGTTTGAGTGGAGGCAGTGGACACTATAAAGTCACTGCCCACCCCCCCCCCCGGGGACCTTTTCCTGACTCCCCTCCCGGAGCGGCTCGGGGGCCCGTGCGCCCCACCTTCGGGACCCCGGGGCTTCATTGCCTGGATCGCGGTCGTCTGCGCCCCCGCCGGACTGCAAGCTGCAAGGGGCGAGGGTGGCGGCTGGCTCGTTGTCTGGGGTGGCGCGGACCCGGCGCCGCGCCTGACCCGTTGTAGGTGCCCCACGGACGCGTTGGGCGACCGGAGCGAACGGAGGTGGGGGTGCAGGCAGGGTCGCCGCCTCTTCCGTGCCTGCGGACGAGGGTCTGAGCCGCGGCCGAGCGCAGCGCGCGGATAGCTGCCCCGCGGAGACGGAGAACGCCGCGCCGCTGGGTCTCCAGCAAAGAAAGGGTTAAGCCGCCAGCGCCCCCCCCCCCACCCCCGGCCCACCCCCTCAAAGGCGAGGGGAAGAGTCCGGCAGAAGGTCCTGTTTACGGGAGCCGCTCGAGTCCGCGCAGCCCTGGGAGAGGCGTTGCCGTGGCAACGGGCCGGGCGCCCGCCAGCTGCGGATGAGCTCACTGGAGCGGCGGGGCGGGGGGCGGCGACGGGGCGCGCGGCCCGGCGGAGAGGACGCGGCAGCCGGCCGAGCCCGCCCTCCACTCGCCCACAGCGGCGGCCGGGCGGCGGGCACGCGAGCGGAGGGCGCGCGGCTCTCCGGGCGCCGGGAGAGGCCGGGCCGACTGCAGGGCGGAGGGCCGCGGGCCATGGCGCCCCGGGCCCCCGCCGCCCGCCGTCCCCGCCCGCCCGGGAGCCCCCGAGCTGCGCCTCGGAGACCGCGGAGCGGCGGCCCGCCGGGAGGTAGGGCCGGGCTGGGGGAAGCGAGGAGGGGACGAGGGGCTGGGGGTGGGGGCGCCGCGGAGGGGCACGCGCCTGGGGGAGGGGAGGCGGCGGTGGGCGCTGCCCCCGGCCGGAGAGGGGAAGTGGCTCTTTGCAGACCCACGGCCGGGGCTCCCGTGTGCGGACGTGGGGACCGAGGCGCTTCAGCCCGACCTGTGGGACTTGAGCAAAGTACTGGCCGGACGGCCTCCGGGGGCTCGGGACGACTTTCAGGGCCGAGTGGGGAAGCCGTTGTCCCGCGCCTCGGAAACCTGCAGAAACTGGGCAGAGCCGGCCCTCTGCCGGGCTGGGTCCCAGGGGCGAGAGTGTGAGAGTGCGTGTGTGTGTGGGTGTGTAGAGAAAGAGTGGGGCTGAGGGGGCCGAGCAGCTAGACACCCTCCTCCCCGCTGTGCTCAGAAAGTGCAGTCTTGGGAAAGCAGGATGGTGAAGATGATTGAATGATCCTGTTTCTCCCACTTTTCCCCTAAGGATGGAGTTGGGAGCAGATGGAGCCCAGGGGGCGACTCCTAACAACAGGAGATAGAATCAAGATTGGGAGGGATCCCAGAGAGCTGGGTTCGAACCCCTGAGGAGAGCCAGACCTCAGCGGCGGAGTCCTTTCCCGGAGGGGACGCGGGGCGGACGCGGGGCCGACGCGGGGCTGTGCACACCGTGGCTTGGCGGGGGAGAGGGAAGAGCGGTGACTGCGCTCATCAGCCAGGGCTGGGGAAGGAGCCGGCGGATCTCGAGCCGGTGTGCTAGTGCTTCAGGGGTGTGACTTCTCTAACGCTCCCAAGGACCCAGGTAATAATGGCCCCAGGGCAGTAGGCTAATAAGGGGCTCCCTACCATAACTTTGTTACTCAACTCTTGCACCCTCGGTTACAACTTAACAAAATCCTTTCTGCTTGCATCATCACAGTATTGAACACACCAGAGGAGTGGAGTAGAAAGTCTTCGGGGTGGGCTGCTTTGGTGGAGCCAAATTCTGTGAGAAGTAAAGGCAATCAGTAACTGGTTTTGACGACCGGTAGTGAAAAGTCTGGAGGAGAAGCATGGCCTTTAGGTCCTTTCATTGGAAGGATTGGAAGCCTCCCTGGGCTGTGTAATCATTCACTTAAAAGCTATGTGTTAGGCATTGGGAACAAACACAGCAATGAATAAGATATATCTCTCTTTCTTCCAGAACCAGCCATCCTGCTTGAGTAGTCAAAAAATTAAAAGCAGGGGCACCTGGCCGGCTCAGTCAGTAGAACATGGGATTCTTGATCTTGGGGTTGTGAGTTCAAGCCCCACACTGGCTACAGAGATTACTTAAAAAAAAAAAAAAAAAATCAAACCAGTCCTAGGCTGGCCTAGCTGAGTGCTACATGCTAGGGGAGCCCAGAGCAAGGCCACCCAACTCGGGAGAGGCCCACAGACGAGGTGATGCTAGGATTGAGCCCTGAAAACCTCTTCACTGGGAGAACAAAGCAGGGAAGGTGGTTCCAGCCTGAGGGAACAGAAATCACAAAATCACCAAGAGGGAATGGGGCCGAGGAGGGGAGGTGTAAGTGTGGGGAGAGCTCACAGTGTGCCGCCAGAGGGAAGGGGGATCTCACTGAAGCTGGAGTGATAGGTTCCGCCTGATGTCCTAGAAAGCCTGTTCTGGTTGTTGGGTGGGGGCCTGGAGGATGTGACCAAGGCCACGCAGCACCCAGGCCAGGCGTTACTGACGCACAGACAATTGGCGATGCTGAGGTAGGATGGAAGGATCCCAGAGATAAAGAGGTAGGACCTGGTGACAGGCTGTGGTGCAGATGAGGTAACATAGACCGAAACTAAGTGCCCCCAAACTCAGGAGAAAACAAAGCAGAGCCAAAGGAATGGATATTTTGAGTGGCCCGAGTTTAGCAGATTACAACACTTGGACAATGAATTTGGCTCTAAATTTTCTGGCAGCTTAGAGACAAACAAAAATACACTGACTTGCGCAGTTTTGGATTTTGGACAACAGAAAGCTTACAGATTATTTTTCAGAACACAATTTTTCCTGGAATTAACTCAGCAGGGAATTTGTCATGAGGAACTTGGTGTAAAGACTAAAGAGTGACATAGAAAAAAAATCTTCATTGTTGGTGTTACAAAAGATTGGGAAGATAAAATTTGACTCGACTATCTTCCTATACCATCTTCCTGTTATGACTTGGGAGCTTACTGCCTCTCTGTGGGCTGCTGAGTGTGGCTCAGGCTTATGGGCAGTGGCGGTGCAGGCAGCTGGAGCCAGGGGAATTCTGTGTGGAGGAGCCCATTTTCTCAAGTGGAGGAAGAGGGGACACCAGCTTCGATGGATGGAGAGTGCAGAGGACGCGCTGGGTGCCCATCTTGATGGGAAGGAAGCAAGTCATAGTGTGGTCCACTGCCCACTGGGCTAGACTCTCTCTGGTCTGGTGAAGGGTCTGGTAGGACAGTGTGCATCCGGAAATCCTGACCAAAGGAAAATGGGGAGTGAGAGCAGCATTTGAGGATTCCATTCCGATGGACAAAGCACTTCCCCCACCGTGGTCTGGGTCTTTGTACCCTCAGACCTGCTACCTCTCAGCAGGAGGGGACGGGTGGGACTCCGGAGACAGGAGATTCACTCCAGTTCCAGTGCGGCCAGGGAGGGTGGGAATCTTGTTTGCTGCAACACAAGGAATATCACAGAAGCACAGGGGTTGTAAGCCAAGCTGGGGCGGACCTTCTGCGGACTCAGTCCCCAGTCTCCCAGCGGGCCGGGCCCTTCCCTTTGCTTTCTGCGGAAGGAACGGAACCTGCAGAATCCATGTCAACGCGTGGCTTCTCTTGAAACCATTTCTTGCTCATTTTAGATGTCCTAAATTAGCATTGAGTACGTATGAGATTCTACTCCCCCCACCCATCATGTTTCTTAACATTTTAAACTCAGGGTGCACTTTAGAACACTTTGATGTCCTGGGTGAGCATTTCTTTAGACAACGGGTGCCTCCACGCACCACCTCCCCTGTGGATTAAATAAAAATTGCTGAGAATGGGCTCTGGGCATCAGGATTTTTGAAAGGCCACAGGTGATTTTAAGGTACAGCCAGAGGTAGGGGCACCTGGGTGGCTTGGTGGATTAAGCCTCTGCCTTCCGCTAGGTCATGATCTCAGGGTCCTGGGATCGAGTCCCATATCGGGCTACCTGCTCAGTGGGGAGTCTGCTTCCACTTCTCTCTCTGCCTGCCTCTGCCTACTTGTCAAATAAAGAAAAACAAAATCTTAAAAAAAAAAAAGGTACAACCAGAGGTGAGAGGGGCTGCTTTAACAGTCATATAAAGGATTCCTCACAGCGGGGGACAGAAACTTCAGATTCCAAAAGCAAGGACCCCATAAATTAAAATTAGGAAGCCTGTTACTCATTATGAAATCAAATGGTTGATCAGCCTTCAACATCAGGATTTAAAGTCAGCTTGAACAGATACAGATAAGAAGGCTAGTGGCAGACACATTCATGTGAAGCTTCATGTTGTATGTGAAGTATTTTTTTTTTTTAAAGATTTTATTTATTGGGGGGCGCCTGGGTGGCTCAGTGGGTTAAGCCGCTGCCTTTGGCTCGGGTCATGATCTCAGGTTCCTGGGATCGAGCCCCGCATCGGGCTCTCTGCTCGGCGGTGAGCCTGCTTCCTCCTCTCTCTCTGCCTGCCTCTCTGCCTGCTTGTGATCTCTCTCTGTCAAATAAAAAAAAATAAAAAAAAATAAATCTTAAAAAAAATAAAAATAAAAAAAATAAAAAAAATTAAAAAAAAAGATTTTATTTATTTATTTATTTGACAGAGATCACAAGCAGGCAGAGAGGCAGGC